AATTATGTAAGATTTAATCATCTGCAACAGTGAATCTCTCCCAAATCTCAGCCCTTCCTTCTGTAGTCCTGCCAGTGATGGTGATACTTCCACCTGCTTCCGACAAGATCTTCTAACGGTTTCCTCTGCCCCGTTACGTAGCCTGAGCAACTGGATCCTGGACCCCATCGTGGCATGGTGCCAATTGTCCCTCAGCCAGATGGCTCGCCTGTCTTTGTCCCATCGACTACTTCATAAATAGGTCTCCACACGTCGTGCTGAAATTTGGGAAGTCTCTTTGAGAGACATGGAGCCTGGTTGCGTAGTCATTTAGCCAGTTCTCAATCCATTCTCCTCGTCTCCATTGAGTTTATCCCTCTCCCTCTCTCTCTCCCTGGCTCTCCCGCCCCCATGTTTTAGAACTTAAATTCTGAACACTGAGTTTGTGGAAGTCTACAATTTACAGCCCTAAATCCAGTGTTTCAGTCTCCACATTTACTGAGCCCTGCTTAGTGCGTTATGTGTTTGAATGCAATCACAAGGTCAACAGTTCAAAACGATCAGCTGTTCCCTGGAAGACAGATGAGGCTTTCTACTTTCATGCAGATTTGAGCCTCAGAAACCCATGTAGGCAGTTCTACCCTACTCTGTAGACTCGCTAAGAGTTGGAACTGACTTGCCATCAGCGACATTGTTGGTCTGCTTGTTTGTGTGTTTTATGACCACTGATCAGCAATGTGAGAAGTCCTGCCCTCAGAAAGTGTGTGTGTGTGTGTGTGTATGTGGATGACTGCCATGCTCCTAGCCACCCAGGCGCCCAGGGAAGGGGCAGCCAGCACGTGGGGACTTGCCGGCGTTTGTCCGTGATGAGATTGGGGATGACATGATTTCAGCGAGGTATGCTAACTGAACAGTCAGCAGTTTGAACACACTACCTACTCTGAGGGAGACAGAGAGACTTTTTACTCCTGTTTGAATTTATAGCCTCGGGGCAGTTCTATCTATTCTATAAGATCACTGTTAATTAGATGGTGTTTCCTCCTCGACGGCAGCACTTTCAGTGCCACATAGGCTTGAGCCACACTCTACCTGCCTTAGGTGGAGGGTCCTGAACCAACCATGTGCCATCCATCTGCATGGGTTTACCTGTCCC